TGGGGCCGGCAGAGCTGCCCCGTCTTCCCCGAGCTTCAGCTGGGCCGCCCTTAGTGCCGCTCCAGCGGGCGTCCTGGGTGAAGCGTGAGCTGCCATCGCCCCTAGAAGACGAGGAGTTGGCTTTTTTTAATGTCGTCCGATTAGCTAGTGATGTCAGAGAGGCAGAGACCACCTAAGGTAGGGGTCTTGATCACTTGAATTCAAAGTAAGGGAAAGTCGTGGTGGGAGGCGAGGCCGGAGCAGAGCAGGTCCCGGCCCCTCCTCGGCGCGGGAGGACGCCTCTCCATGAAGCCGGAGCCTGCCGCTCGATGCCTGCCCTGGCCCCGAGTGGGGGCTGACTACGCCAGCCCGAGGGGCTTGGGCTTCGCTTTGATCGTGCTCGGGTGCTCCCGGCATCCTGGCCTTGGCTAGAGAAATGCTAGAAACCAGAGGCCCAGTAAGAACGATCATCGACTTGGTTTGAGGCTGTTAAACAGTAGGAAAAATACGCTCCAAAAATATGCTCCAGGCAAGGTTGGGTTCGTAACTGCTGATACTTCAGTCGGGGAAGTCCTTTGACACGTAGAGCTTTTGCTGGTTTAAAGGAGATCTCTCTGTCCTTGACCTCAAGCTGTTCCTTGAGGTGCTGCTTAGTCACAGACGGGCACTCTGCGGGGTGCCGGGGTGCACAGCCCTCCCGTCGCAGCCCTGGATGGGCATGCGGGTGCAAACCAGTTCAGCAGCCTAATTACACCCAGCGGTGGTGGCTGCCTGTTATTTGCTTGTGTGAGTAGCTGGGAAGGAGTAAACATTAAAGTGACTGCGTAGAAATTCTTTCCGATGAGGCAAACCAACGTGAAACGTTGCTACTGGACATGGTTGAGGAAGCGTTCTGGTAAGATCCAAGCTGTCGAAGAGTTGGTTTTATTTAGCTTAGAAGAAATGTTTCCCCTTTGCATCTTGGAAATGGAAGGAGCTCTGCTGCCTCACCGGTCTGTCCCTCTCAGCCGGTCTGCACCTACCTCAACTACGAAGTAACGTCCCATTAGAATTTCTTGGTCAGGGTTTTTTTTTCCACATTAAAGCTAGACCTGTTTAATGTCTCCTCCCTGGATAGCTACATTTTTTTCAGATACTTCTACACTGTTATGTTTTTTTTTCTTCCCTAGAGAGCACACAACCTGAAACTGCAGGGCTTTGGGTTGTTTGCCCATACACTGGCCCTGCTGAGTCTTCCCTTCCCCCAATAATTTTGCAATTTCCTGACTGCTTACTTGATCTGACTTGTACAATAGGCTGATCAGAATATATAAGGATAACTTTAGATCTGGCCTCTTCAGGCTTGTGTTGGGTTAGGGTTTTGTTTTTTCTTTTTCGGTGCTCTTGAACCATAAAAGGCCTCTGACTCTTCTGGCACTGTCACACACTGCAAACTTGTTACTCCCAAGGCTCTTTTGTTTATTTTGCAAATTTTCTTACTAGGTTGTATGTTTAGGGTCTGCACTGTAGATTCAGTAACACACTTTCCCAAGCTGACTCTTTCATTTTTCCTGAAAATATATTTAATTTTTCAGTCACCTCCATACCCCTGACTCTGCAATGTTCGCAATTCCCATCTGGCTTCGGTGTCGTTAACAGACTTCGCTGATGTTCCCACAGATATCCAACAATAATAACCTTATTGCTGATGTTACTGGCTCCTCGGGTTGTTCCTTAGCATGGTGCTGTTTATTACAAATATTTACTTCAGTCACGTGAAGGAGGGTCAGCAGTGAGCGTATTACTGAAGCGGGTTCCTCGGTTTGCACAGTGGGTGCTGTTTTACAGCAGTGCTGTTTTCCCATGTGGTGGCCAGTCCTGGGTTTGGGCATGGACTTTGAGAGAGAGGCTTGCTCTGAGGTGATACCTTGGCTTCAAGGGGGGCGATTTCAGACACCTCACCCCTTTCTGTGCCATGACCTTTGGGCTGAGGCTCTTCTCCTGTGGAGAGAGGAATTCCTCAGCCTGATGGTCTTGGAGACAGAAAGATAAACTGTCCACAAAGCTTCCCTTTGTGGAGGAGGAACAGGGGTTGTCACAGGTGAGAGGATGAATTCTTCCGCTCTGCGCAAATCATCCGTCTCCGTTCAAAGGAAAAACGGCAGGGCCCACATCAGAACTGAGTCTTTTGGGATCATATTCAGAGTTTCTGGTGTGCTGTCCCCCTCCCTGTGTGACTGGGGCGGGGGAGCAGTGTCAGAGCTGTTGCTGAGTTTGTCTCTCCAATTTGTCTGATTTCCTCCTGTAGCGTTCTCAAACAGTGTAAAGATGTGGAGCTCTCCTTCAGTGACGTGACGGGCAAGCCTGAAGCCTTCAAAGGCACCAAGAAAGGGATGCTGTATCTCACCCCTTACAGGGTAAGTCTGATGCCAGCCAGGCTTCTTCGTTCTCAAGGGATCTCTTAGACTTTAAACCAGAAACCTAGTTGGTGATAGAAGAAGTGATTTTTATTATGGGATGAACCACTGAGAGTACTAGGTAGGAGAAGGGAAGGCGGAAATAGGACAGTTCATGCCTGTGTCACAATCCCAGTTGCCTAGAAAGGCACATGCAGGAAATCATCCTCTCTAGAGAATATGGTTCATATAACGCATCAGTCAATATTACATCCTTTGAAAACTGTCATAGCTTATCCTTAAAAAGCAGAACAATATGACCCTGTGAATGCGCATGTGTGTTCTAAGTGGTGAGTTATTTTGCAACATACATGCTTCAGGCGAGTGAGCCATGTGCCATCGAATCTGTTTGGGATCCTGCAGTATTAAAGCTGTGAAATAACACAATGTATACTGATACTAGGAGTTAAGTTATCCTCTTTCTGGATGCTGCTACAACTAGAACTCCATGACTGCTCTTTATATCTAATTCGATTAATTCAGAAGTGTTCCCTCCTGTCTTGCAGATGATCTTTGTGTCGAAGGGCAAGGACCCTATGCTGTCTTTCATGATGCCGTTTTATTTGGTGAAAGGATGCTCAATTGAGCAGCCTGTTTTTTCTGCCAATTACATCAAAGGACAGATTCAGGCCGAGGCAGGAGGTATGTGCCCGTGCTTTGTAGACTGAACTCTTCCCAAGTGTCACAAGTCCTTTTATCTTTTGCTGAGCATCAGACATATGGCTCATGTGCACCGGAAAGACGGACAGAGTAGCTACAGCAGTATAGCTAGTACGTCCACACTAAGGTAACCCGTGTCTTCTGAGCTTTAAGGCACTGCTTCAGTGTTGCTTTCTGCCCCCAAAGCTAACAACTGACTTTCACAGGATGGCTTTTCTTTAGTCCTGTAACTTCTGTCTTGCTGCGTATGTCATGTTCACTTGGTTTCCGCATGTGCTTGTTTTCCCATCTCTGACCCGGAAGGGTGAGTAAATGACCCAGTCACCAGTCATTGGTATTGATAGACAGAATTAGCAGCCACTTTTGTTTTCTGGAGGTCATCAGTTGCTTACCAGATTGGGTACATTTGTGTGCATCTAGGATGCTGCTGTGTATCACGGATTTAGCTTTGTTCCCGGTTTGATGATGAAACTGTGGTAAGACTTAGTCATGGTCATGACCAAACAGAGATAATTACAGAAGGTAAACAGGGATTAAAAACAAGGCTTCTGGTTCAATTTTCTTCCCTCTTCAGCCCTAAAGCTAGTTTATGTGCATTTTGGTGGCATCTGGAGAGCTTATGCTTTTCCTTCCTCTTCCTAAGAATGTCTTAAAGTGGCTGGGTCCTCTGGATTGTGGATCAGCCCACTTTCTCAGGCTGAAATCATACTAAAACAGTCATCTTAAAGAGGTGAATCTCCAAGGGGATGACTTTATCCATGGCAGATTGCTTTGTTATGTTTCTGTCCTTTATTTCTACTTTGTCCCCAAGAAATTCTCTCTACTTCTATGAACTTCATTGTTAGTCAGACAAGGAAGATAAATCTTATTTTATTAAATCTTTTGTTTAAAAGATTTTTTTTGTTGTTTGGTTTGTTTGGTTTCTTTTTCTAAAAAAAAAATCCCCCAAACCAAAACCACTGCCCCCCACCCCCAAACCCAACACCAAAAACCCCCTACAAAACAAAGCATTCTTATCATGCGATGTAATCACCTACTTGCTTTTCTGGAAAAGTGCTGTTATACCTAAGCATTTACAATCTGTCTGAGTTTTCTGTGGGTCAAAGAGATTAAAAATGTTGCATTTGATTTAAATCCTAGCCTGAGTTGCAGATCCTGATCTGTGGTCCACTGAGGTCAGCAGTAAAGCTTCATTTGAGGGCTTTAGATTAAAATCCTCAGTGAATTAAGTGTTCTTTCTTTACACTGCGTTCATTATTAGGTTCTATTAAACCTTTTGGGAAAGGACAAAACATCCTATTATCTAGAGTAGGCTGCTTCTACATAACTGTAATGGGGATTATCTTTTAAAGGGTAAAGAAATAAATTCCTGATCTTCTTGAGATAGTATTTTGGGGGACATCTGATTCTTTTCCCGTGGTGATATGATGCAAAATAGTTTTGAAATAAAGAAAAAAAAGTAAGTGGAGTATTAACTGTTTTGCTGGCTTGACTGCTGCTGAGGAGGTTAATAGTCTGTTTCAATTCCAATTTTCTCGTAGGTGGCTGGGAAGGGCAGGGGACATTTAAGCTGACTTTCAACAGTGGAGGAGCCATTGAGTTTGGACAGTTGATGTTCAAAGCTGCCTCTAATGGTAAGGGATCTTCAGAGCCTGCAGTTCCCCCATGACTGCCTGAGCTAGTTAGAGAACAGTGCTATTTTTTAGCTTCATGGGTTGGGGGAAGAGGTATTCCAGGAGAACTTCTGTTTTTCCTTCCAATACTTTTTTTTATTTCGTTGTAACACTTTCTGCAATCAGGATATTCTGCAGGTTGTGCTTCTGAGGTGGACTGCCTTTTTCTACAGAACGTTACTCCTGAATAAAGAATAAAGTTGAAATATGTGATGGTGAAAAATTGATCCACTTACCTACCCTCAGCTCAGTTCTCTAATAGTGGAGTAAGATGAGGGAAGTTAACATGTCCACATTTGGAGGGGGAAAAATAAAATAACTTCTATTTAAAATTTTCACATGGGGGAAAAGTATGCTTTTTTTTCTGATATAAAAGTTTTCTTTTTAAATGTGCATTTTAAAATACACTTTTTTTTCTGATAAGAAAGTGTAAAAAGAATTAAAAACCACTCTACTGATACTTGCTTTAGGACGATCTTTTCTTCCAGCAGCAGGAGCTCTTGTGAACTGGTACCTGATAGCTAGTGTTTTTGCAGCTGGTTTCCTTTAGCACCCTGTGAACTTGCAGCGAGAAGGCTAATGCTTTTCAGGCGCAGTACTTTGCCAGGACCGTATAGTGAATTTAGATGATGGGAAATGGTGCTGCACAAACAGGACTATTTTCCTTTTATTCTGTATGTTTAATCGTAACAAAAGGATGTCTGGCTTATTAAACATGTGCTCCTTAGCTTCCAGTGGCGTTCCTCTCCAGAACCCTGGCTATGGCTATACACCTGTGCCCGGAGGGTATGCACCCGCCCCGCCTGCTCCCGGGGGGTATTCACCTGCGCCGGCAGGCTATGCTGCTCCTCCACCACCAAACGGACCCTATCCTTACACACCACCTCCGATGAATGCCTATGGACCTGCTCCACAGCCCATGGGATATCCATACGCCCAGACTCCAGGTTTGGAAGCTGTGTAATGATGACTGGCAGGGCGTGTGTGGTGTTAGTTGTAAAGAAATCACAGTGGTACGGTGAGGGTTACTGTAGTTTTGTCTCCGTCAAGGATCCTGGCAAAAATCTGTTGCGTGCTGTTGATCACACCCATGCGTCTCTGTAGTTGCAGCTGCATGGGAGGTGAAAATGTGGTTTGTAAATTGTGCTGATGCTTGGCAGAGAATTGTTGCCTGCTGGCATGACAGGCATTAGCAAAATGTCAAATCCCTGCTGTCTGCATCCCTGCAAAGCCTGAAGAGCTTCCCTGACTGCTGCTCGTGTCCAGGGCTGATGTGCTGCTGGGCCTGTAAGTTCGTTTTATCCTCTGTCCCATTGCCATGGGCCAAAGCATCAATCTGTTACCATCTTTTTCAGGTATTTACCCACCACTTCCAAACATGAACCCCATGTATGTGCCACCTCCTCCCCCTTACTCTGGGCCGTCTCCTGCAGGACCCTCAGCCCCCGCAGCTCCCCCAGCTTGGGTGGGCCCGGGGATGCCAGGTAATGGGACTCGGGGGCTGTCAGGGTCTGGGTGCAAAAGGGTGCTTGGGGTCTTGGGCTGTTGGGTGGCCTTGTGGGCACAGGGTGGGGTGGGGAAGCTGCTGCTGTTGCAGGAGCTCAAAGCCATTCTTGATATATTATTTGAGATAACAGAGTGCGGGGGGAGCTGCTCAGCTCTGCAGTGCACACCTTGTGGTCAGCTCTACCCGGCTTGCTGCGGTTGCTGCTAGCTCCTTCAGCCTTCATTTGTTGCCTCCTCAGAAGAGCTGTGGCTGGGGAGAAGACTCTGGGGCTGGGGCTGCTGCCTAAGGCATGTAGATGAACGTGTCCTACGCTTGCTTCTCTTTCCTTTCTAGGGGGTAGTAAGGCCATGGAAGCTGCTTCCAGCGCGTATTACAACCCTGCCAACCCACACAATGTGTACATGCCTATGGTGAGTACTGCACCTAGGGCCTGCGTGTGCCTGCTCCCTCTTCTGCTGCTAATGGAGACAGTGGTTTGCTTTCCTAGCAAAGCCTAGCACACCTTCATTTTGAAAATGCACAGAAAGTGTGCATTTTCCTGGGAGGTGTGGATGATAGTGCCATGAAGAAGGCTTGTTAAATCCTCAGTCAGGAAAGGAGGAAGGCCTTGAGATTCATCCAGTAACAGCCATTCAGTACGACAGAAGCTCCCTGCTTCTGTTGGGCCTGAAAGTAGGGAGAGTTAAATAAGAGCAGGTCACTGAAGGTTGAGAGCGTGTGGGTTTTGTTTTCATTTTTTTTCTGGGCTGCGTGGAGATGGGGAGGTCTCTTACAGCTCAGTCAGTGGCAGCCGGTAGGTAGGCTGTAGCCTACATCTGCTATGTGACAGCCGGTCTGCCTGTGCCCTTGGCTGCCTCGTGTGGCTCTGTGGTGGGCTGGAAACCGATGGAGCAGCAAGGCTGGCCCGCAGCCCAGGGGCTTGCTGTCTGCTGGGTCAGAGCTGTGAACATCAACAGAGACAAAGCCCTGCAAGTGAAGGAAGGATGGTGATTAAACCAGATTAAATGGTCTGTTTGCAACAGAGCATTTGTTACCTGGTTTTGAGGGGACCTTCACTAGAAACGTTATGGGAGGCAGCATATATCCTGGAGCATAAGTGATACTAGAGAGGAATGGCGTGATGAAATGACAGCTTAAAACACAGCACCTGGCTCTGTCTGCAGCTCACTGAAGAGCAGTCATTTGTTGTAAGCCAAGCCTGGGAACACCTGGGAAAAACTCATCATAAAATGAGCAGGGTTACTGACTCTACTATATCTCCTTCCAGGATCAGCCACCTCCTTACACACCTCCTGAGGATAAGAAGAACAACTAACAGGAGGAAATTGCAACCAGCCTCCCACACTCTCTCTCCCTGAAGATGACAACTTGGCTGTTACTACCCCTTGGGTTAGCGTATCTCTAGGTTTCTTTGTATATATACAATGCTATGTAGTGCTGGGCAGCTGAGCACCTGCCCTCCTTAAACATTAAGTCAGTGGCAATACAAGGTGGAACAACAGCACTTTCCTGCTTGTTTCCTTTATCTCCTGGGGTCGAAGCACTAACCTTTTGCTCTGCCATTGGCTTGAAGAGAGAGATGGACTTCTTATTAAACCATCAGTAGACCACATGACTAATCTAGGACTAAAATATGAAAGCTCTGGGATCTTGGAATAAAACTACTTGGAATGCCAAACTTTTGACTTCTTCTGAAGCACCATCCAAGAGGAAAGGCGTAGAGGGCCATGAGGTTCCTTGCGTAGACCCTTGGGTGCCCCAGAAAGGTGTTGAATTTGCTTAAATTCTGGCACAGTTCAGCGTGAGATGGGACTCTGGAAATCCTGTATCCTGCTGGAAGCATGTGTTTCATGTCCTGGACTAACAGTCGTGGGGTGATGAACTTGGGAAGTGCATCCTGAGATGTTGAAGCATTTGGCTATGCAAGAGGGAAGGGGATGGGGCCCAATCAGCCTGCCTTTGTAGACATTGAATAGAAAAGCAAACAGAGATGTGCTGCAGGGCAGTGAGCCGATAGACTGGCAGGCGTGCGAATCAGTCTTCCTTTCCCTCTCCTAGAAGCAGGTTCCATATCTCTGCAATGATCTGGTGTCAAGCAGCAGTTCTTCAAGTGTAATGGAGTCAAGTGCTGCACAGGAGGCTGCTTGCCTTGGAGCAAAATGTGTTACATGAGGAGGATGACCTGGCATTGGCCTTGTCAGGAGACCGGGCCTGCGGCCCTGGCTCCCTCTGCTGAGTGAGCCTGCGCTGCGCCCTAGCACCACGGGGGAAAACTGGCCTTCATCTTTTCCTTCAGCAGCAGCGTGGGTGTGTGGGCAGCTGTAATACCCGAGCTGGGTTGCATAGGGGCACAGCGCCCTCTCAGCTGTCTGGTGCGGATGTTATGAACACTCAGCTCTCCTGCAGAGACTCTGGCTGCTCAGCCACAACCTTTCCTTCTTCCTTAGGACATAGTGCCATTAAACCTGCTCTGAAGAGTCTCTCTGGTCTGGTGGAGACCCTTGTGATCCTTTACGTATGGGGTGATCGTACTTCTTCCTACAGCCTTCCTACCCTCACAGCAAAGGGGAAGGAGTGTTTTCTCTCTTACTTCCCTGTATGCCAGGGCTCTCCTGAAAGTCAGGCTTGGACGACACGCAAGTGTGGATTCCTAAAGCAGCCCTGCATGCGGGGGGGAGTAAATTTCCTGATCTATAAACACCATTTAAGTCTGAGTTAGAGATATTCTTATAACTCTGTATTTAAAAAAAAAAAACAACATGAATGTTTGTAACTTTTGAATTGCACTTTAATACAGGAGTGTTGATACCTTTAGCTGCCTGTTCACTGTGTGTGTGTCGTGTTGACCTTCATTCCTGCCTACTGCACAGAAGGCTGGAACAAACAGCAACCATGGGTGGTGGTCTTTCGGGTGGGCTGTGGGCCAGTCCTCTATCCCTGGTGTGAGGCTAAGCTGGATCTGGAACCAAGTAACTGGGGGGAGAAAAGAAGGTGGGGCTCATCCTCTTGCTGCCTGGGGAGGGTGGAAGGCTGGTTTGTGCCTTTGCTGTCACCCAGATAACCAGAGCTGCCACGTGTTCATGTCCTCTGGGCAGGTACAGCACTGCATTTGGCAGGGGCAGTGTCACCACCCTGACACTCACTAAGGCTGTATTCTTAGCAGCTCTCCTGTGTATGTTTACTGCCTACCTTCAGGCAGTAGGAAGGCTTCTCTTTAAGAGGAACTCCTTGCTAGCCATTTTTTTTCCAGTGAGGGGAAAAAACAGATGTATGGTAAAGGAAAATGGCACTTAACTGGGGACTGTAAAATCTGAGTTTCCCCT